ATAAAGTGGAGCCTCCAGCGAGTACAGTGAAGATTTGGAAGGAGAGAAGGATGAAGATTGAAACCTCAGGTAGAGTTTCTGAATGGGAGATGTCTTCTGGTTCTTATCCTTTGCCGTCTATGTGACCTGACCCATATCTACCAGAGATTATTGGACTTTTATATGAGACCTGCCCATGTGACAGATCCTCAATTCTGTGGCCTTTGTCCTCTGTCTATTCACCTACGCCCATGCCATACACTCCAATTCTACTGTTTATGTGCAGCTCACTGAAACTGTACTATCCTTGCTAGCTTAGCAATTGGTCCCAAAATCCAAGACAGGGAACCAAAATGTGTATTTGGGGTAGTGCTGTACTCATGTGGACAACATTATGGGCATGAGCACTTGGCCCATCACAGGGAATATGGGAAAGGAAAGTACCACCTTCCACCTCAAAAAAGTACAAAATGTTAGAGTCATATATCAGGGCATTAAAAGGGTGGGAAGCAGGGAGGGGAGGAGAGTAAGACCTGTGAAGAACTGTCCTCAGACTCCATTCTCTACAACCATGGCCATAAGGCTTCAACTCATATGTCCATAACCCAATTTGTTTTATTTTATTTTATCTTTTTTTTTAATTTTGGCATATTACGGGGGTACAAATGTTTAGGTTACATATATTCCCTTTACCCACCTGAGTCAGAGCTTCAAGCGTGTCCAATCCCCAGATGGTGCGCACCACACCCATTAGGTGTGAATATACCCATCCCCTTCTCCCCCCTCCCACGTGCCTGACACCCAATGAATGTTACTACTATATGTGCACTTAAGTGTTGATCAGTTAATGCCAATTTGATGGTGAGTACACGTGGTGCTTGTTTATCCATTCTTGTGATACTTCACTTAGTAGAATGGGCTCTAGCTCTACTGAGGATAATACAAGAGGTGCTAGATCACCATTGTTTTCTGTGGCTGAGTAGAACTCCATGGTACACATATACCACATTTTATTAATCCACTCGTGTATTGATGAGCACTTGACTTGTTTCCAAATATTTGCAATTGTGAATTGTGCTGCTATAAACATTCTAGTACAGATGTCTTTTTTATAGAATGTCGTTTTTTCCTTTGGGTAGATGCCCAGTAATGGATTGCTGGATCAAATGGCAGTTCTACTTTTAACTCTTTGAGGTATCTCCATATTACTTTCCACAGAGGTTATACTAGTTTGCAGTCCCACCAGGAATGTGTGAGTGTTCCTATCTCTCTGCATCCACACCAACATTTATTGTTTTGGGACTTTTTGATAAAAGCCATTCTCACTGGAGTGAAGTGATATCTCATTGTGGTTTTGATTTGCATTTCCTTGATGATGAGAGATGTTGAGCATTTTTTCATGTTTGTTGACCATTAGTCTGTCTTCTTTTGAAAAGTTTCTGTTCATGTCCTTTGCCCACTTTTTAATGGGGTTGTTTGATTTTTTTTCTTGCTGATTTTCCTGAGTTCTAAATATATTCTAGTTATCAGCCCTTTATCAGATATGTAGCATGTGAATATTTTCTCCCATTCTGTAGGTTGTCTGTTTGCTCTCTTGATAGTGTCCTTGGCTGTGTAGAAGCTTTTTAATTTGATTAGGTCCCACTTTTTTATTGTTTCGTTGCTGTGATTACTTTGGGGTCTTCTTCATAAATTCTCTCCCTAACAATTCTATGCTTCGTAGGGAACCGGAGAAGACGCCATATAGCAAAATCAATCTTAAGCAAAAAGAACAAATTGGTAGGAATCAATTTACCAGACTTCAAGCTATGCTACAAAGCTATAGTAACTAAAGCAGCATGGCACTGGCACAAAAACAGAGACATAGACCAATGGAACAGAACTGGAAACCCAGATATAAAACCATCCTCATATACCCACCTAATCTTTGACAATGCAGACAAAAACATACACTGGGGAAAATAATCCTTATTCAATAAACGGTGCTGGGAAAATTGGATAGCCACATGTAGAAGAGTGAAACAGGATCCACACTTCTCACCTCTCACAAAAATCAACTCATGGTGAATAACAGACTTAAACCTAAGGCATGAAACTATAAAAATTCTAGAAGAAGATGTTGGAAAAACTCTTATAGACATAACCCAATTATTGTGTTTGGGGTAACATCAGCTAACCCTTCACTGAAATCCACATTCTTTTCCCACTCTAGACCAGGGCAAGAGTGGGCCCAATTTATAGCATTGTAACAATAGGCTGGATTATCTATCCAGTTTGCCAGCAATTTCACATTGAGGAATTTATTCTTAAAAAATTGTTAGGGATGTGGGAAAAAATTATTGATATATACTGCAGCATGAACTAAAATATAGAATAATTAAAAACAAACAATATGTGCAATAATAGAGAATTATTTAAATTTTTGGTACATGTATAAAATGGAATCATGTAAAGCCATTCAAAATCATTTTGTAGAATTATATTTTCTGACATGAGAAAATTTTTAAAATATATTTTATATGTAAAAAAGTCATTTAAAAAATAGTATATAACTTATGAAAAATAAATTTAAAAAATATATACACTGTCTCTCTCCCTGCCACTCCCTCAACCCCTTATCCCAATCCTCATTTACCTAACTCTGATTAGGCCTGGAAGGGCTTATGCCAACACATTAACAGAGGTTATCTTCAAATACTGGGCATATAGGTAATTTTTTCCTTTCAGTGTTTGCTAAGTTTTCTGCACACAGCATACACTTATTTTGTAATTTTAAAAAAGGATTGAAATTTGGTTAATAAATAGATTTCTTAAGACCGTAAGTCACAAATACGATTTGAAAACCCTTTGATCCATCTTATTTTAATCAAGTCTTAACATTTCCAGTAAAATTAGACGAACAAATGGTTTGGGGGACTATTCTGTGATGGCTTAAAATGAAGCACAAATGACCATTATAGAGTATCCATTCCAGTAATGGTTTAATGTAGTGAGAAGCAAGTTTAATATTATCTGTAATGTTAGTTTTTATGTTAGAAATACTGGTAATGCCCCTCCAACGTATCCCAAGTGCTATCAATAAGGACCAACAGATTTTGTTTAGAAATCAATTTATTGGAGAAATTTTCACTTAGATTAATATATCCATATTTAAAAGAAAAATACATCAGAAATCATCTTTCTAATTCCTCAAAATTCCAGATAAGGCCATACTCATTGCTAATCTGCCATTCAATTCTTTGAAGATAATTAGTTTTGTCATATGGGTATATAGGATAAATAGAAGAGTTTTTTCTTTCTTTCTCTATTTTTTTCCTCATCATTTCAAAAGACTAAGGTCCAAATAGAGTACATGTTGACCACTGAGGGGAGGGAAGTCGTACTACGGTAGTATAAGACAAATTATGTTTATTTTGCCAAATCAAAATCAGAGGAAAGATTCCTCTGTCATATGGGCTGGAAAACACAGTAACAGTAGCCCCGATGTTGGGAATGATGAGGGTGGCTAGATCACCCTGACTTACTTTTGTCTCATCATATGCATAAAGATTTTTGGTTGTGTCAAAAAAAAGTTAAGAGTTGGACAAGTGGAGAGGGCAGAAAAGGGTATGAGGATGTGGGGAGAAGAAGGAAGGGACAGGAAGAGAAAAGGCATGAAAGTGGACATAAGAGTGATGATTGCAGTGGGTGGGCAACAGTGCTTATGGAAGGAAGCTAGTTTAGGAGAGCAAAGGGTAAGATAACATGAATAGTGTGGGGTCAGATTATGGTGGGTACTCCTTAGAAACATAATTTAGGTTTGGTTTTATAGCTGATGGAGAACTATCTTAAATATTTCCACCTACAATGTCTTTAGTGATACATGAAAGTGATGTTTTAGGATGAAAAATAGCTAACATTTTTTGAGTACTTTCCCTGTTACAGGCAGCTTGTTAACAATGATGGTTCAGAGAGTGGCCTTTGGAGTTGGTTGGACCTGAGTTCAAGGCCTGACTCTGGAATTTACTAGCTATATGACTTTGAAAAATGATTTATTTTCGTATTTTCCAGAGTTTCAATTTCTTCAACTGTAAAACTGATGTAATAGTACCCACCTCTCAAGGCTGTTGTATGGATCACGTGTAAAGGATTAATTTGGAATTAGTGTTTAAGATAGATTGGAGAAGGGAAAAGGTATAGGCAGGGAACAGTTTGGAAGCTATTGCAATTATTGAGCCTAGGCAAAGGTGGTAAATCACTAGAATGGGGAGGGTGGACAAACTGCAAAGGAAAAGTAAAGAAGTAGGACAGGTGACTGACTTCTCACTACTCTCATTGATCTTACAAGTTTCTTTCTGTCCCTTTGACCTAATCTAGGAACTTGAAACTACACTTTGAAGTATGTGTGTGGTCCTTTTCTGGGCATTATCAATTATTTGCTCATATCCCTAGAGCTACAAATAATCATCTGCTATCTCTGTTCACCATTTCAACATATCCTGCAATTTAAGATCCAAATTCCCATTCGTCAGTCAGTTAAAAAGCAAAGCAAAACAAAAATAATTCACTTTCTTACACAGTATTTTCATTTTTTTTTTTTTGGTTGTAATTTCTTCGTTCATTCTTGGGCTTCTCAATCAGGCCTCCTGCAAATTCCCACAGAAGCAGGGGTCCTTATTTTAACAAAAAGCAAAACTCAAAAAGAAAATCAACCTTGCTGTTTCTGGGCTGAGGGAAACCGGAAACTTTTCTTCAACTCTCTGTGGCCTCGATTAGTATGCCCAGTTTCTCCAATCAGCTAACATAAAATTCACTACGTAATAGGAGCCCTAAAATGCGCAAGGCTTTGAGAACATGGGCTTTCAACAAAGAACTTGCGCTTTCAGGAAGATCTGCCTTCCTATTCGCATACATTTCTGAGCATGGAGTTACGCACAGGAGTTTTAGTCTCTGTGGGAAAAGGTCCTTTATTCTAATCTAATTCAGTTCAGTGCTCCCTTTTTCTTTTTTCTTCTCCTCCTCCCCCTCTTCTCTGGGAGGGAATAGTCAAAAAAAATGTTCCCACAGATCTCGCGGTGCTATTCGAGATTCCCTATTTAAAAAAAAAAAAAAAAAGTTTAGAATGATGCAAACAAGGAGCCTTTGCCTTCCGGAGTTTCGGGCTGGGACTGCAGCGCTTGGATCCCAGAGAAAGCAGCTAAGGGCGGAGGCGGGGCTCTGGCCAGTTCCCCTTCCACCTTCCCCCACTCTCCTCCACCAACCTCTGTTTGGCCAGTAGCTCAGTTGCAGCCGTTGCTGGAGCTGCTTCGCAGCCCTTTTCAGGACCCAATCAACCGCAGCCGCTGTTCCCAGGATGGTGATCCGTGTATATATTGCATCTTCCTCTGGCTCTACGGCGGTAAGGAGAGCGGGGAGCCCACCTTTGTTGTTTTCCTACACACCAGTCCTCTGCTGCCCCAGAGCCGTTAAATTGCAGAAGTTTGTCCGGCAGCTTCTCCTTTGGAAGACACAAACTCCCCTCTGTCTTCTTCTCTTTCTTCCCTTTGTTGCATCGATTTCATTTTTTTCAATGGAGTTTAGCTTTTTTTGCCTCACAACGTTCGGGTCACATTTCTCCTTCGAAGGAAAAAGAAAGCTATGGCGTTTCAGCAGATGGGAGATGGTGGTATAGGGTCTTTAGGGTTAGGTGAAGAAGTTGAGTAAAATCATACACTGGTGAGCTTCGAGAGCGAGACATTTGACAAATATACTCTAAGTACTGAGGTGAGGAGAACGAGTGCACCTCTGTAAATGATGGAGGCACACATGTGGTAACTGATGGGGATTTAGTGGAGGCCTACTGGGGCATTGTGATTATTTGGAGACAATGAGACCCCTGTAATACAGTTATTTTGAGAGTGTGTGGGAGAAGGTGTTTAACTTCAGCTTAATGGCCTGTTAGAACCAGACAAAATGGGAGGGGAAGTTGGGAGTGAAGATACAAAGTGGATTTGTTTTTTAACTTAATGTGACCAGGGATCTGGTTTTTATCCCCATATTGTCTCTCAGTTTGACTTTTTCTATTCTTTAAAAAGATTTTACTTTTAACACTCCCTAATTGCTTCAAATATGTTGAGAACTGGAAAGGGAACTTACAAGTGGCTTCTTTTGTTGTGGCAGGTTGCTGAGTTGCTGCTGCTTCAAATGATAGGACACTGTCCCCTCTGGATTCACTTGCTTTTTATTTAGAATAATAATTTTTCAGGAGCTATGTGGAGAATAAGATAAACTGGGGTGAAATCTGAGTGTGTATCCATGATAAATGAAAGTACCACTGTTTTTCACAACTTAAGGAAAAAGCCCACAGTGGCAAGAACAGACCTGTAGGTTCAGGATGTAGGCTATAGGAACCAGTGCTCCCTCTTCTTGAACTTTAGAACAGCAGCTACTCCAGGTTGTTGCTGGGTGTTTTTGTTTTTTGGCTTGCTTATTTACACTCAAGAGGATTTGCAATAAAACTGAAGATTATGTTAAATCACAAGAACCTTGACCCTTGAACTTTGTCTTCTCTGGCCACCATATGTGCATGCGTTTAGACAGTTTTGAAATATCAGAAAACTTAATCTTACAGTTTTGAGCAACTTTAGGTTGAAAAAAAGAAAACCTTTTGTATTTCCTTTAGACCCCACTTTATGAGCCTCTTGCCTCATTATTTTCCATACATTTTTATTCTGATACGTCAAAGTAAAATTTGAGTTGCTCAGAGTCTCAGTCTAATAAAGTAATTGCAAAGTTTCAGAAACAAGCTTAATGCCTTTGGTTAAGCCCTAATTAGACTGAATAGATCAGGCAGTTAGTTTCGCTTTGGGAGCCAGGCAGTTTCAATGCTGCTATTTATTCTTTGCTTTCTCCCTCTTCTACCCCTCCCCCAAAAGCAGATTCAAGAAGAAACTGCTTTCAGAATTTCTATTCACGTAAGAACAACTGCACCTCTTTCTTTGTTGAGACTTACATTTCTGAGAGTCTTAGAAATGGATTCTGTCTTCTGTTATTTCCTTATTGGACTCCATTGTTCAACATTATGCAACTGGCAGGTGTTTATGGTATTTGGGTTTTGTTTCAATCTTTTTCTTGTGGGTTATTAAAGATTTATCTATTGTTGCAATAAATACGGTTCGTATGAACCTGTTATCAAAATTCTACTAAATATTGCCAAAGTAAGTCCTTGCTTTATTATAATCTTAGAGTATTTTTAAATAATACCAAAACAGTACAAAGTGTATATACACTTTAGGAAAGAGCTCTTTTATAACATAAATGGGGTGGTGATGTACTTCAGAAAGAGACTCCAGTTTGCATTACTGAACTTTTCCTTTATGACTGCTGCCATGTTGGTTTTAATATATGAATTACAAATTTTGGGGCAAACGTCCTGATAGAACTGAACAATTGCACAAAGTGACATACTTGTATAAGTGACTAAGTGTGGTTACCTGAAGAGCATTTAAAAGCTTCTTGGCTTTGGATTGGTAATTTCTGTCTTCTGACTCTTCCTGCTGGGTGTCATGATATAACCAATAATATAGATGTTATACTGGTCTATGGGATGATTGGGATCTGTGGTAATTGACATGACAATATTAACTTATTTTTTTTATATCTCAAAACTCCCTGTACTTCATAGCTTAATAAAAAAAAATAAGTTTTCAAACTTGCACTTAGCTCTGCCCTAATACAGATGAGTAGCACTTGCTTCTTAAAAGTTTAGAAATGAAAGCAAATATATTCATCTTTGCTATGTATTTATTTTTTATTTTTATTTTTTATCACTACATGATAATTGTACATATTTATGGGGATCAAACCAAGATATTTAAGATATCCATCACCTGAAGCATTTATCATTTCTTTGTGTTGAAATCATTCCAAATCTTCTATTTTGAAATATAGCCTAAATTATTGTTATCTATAGTCACCCTACTGTGCAATCAAAGAGTAGAACTTATTCCTTCTGTCTAACTGTAATTTTTGTACCCATTAACCATCCTCTCTTCATCCCTCTCTCCCCATTACACTTCCTAGTTTCTGGTAAATATCATTCTACCTCCATGAGATCAGCTTTTTTTGCTCCCACATGAGAACATGTGATATTTGCCTTTCTGTGCCTAGTTCATTTCCCTTAATGCCCTCCTCCATCCATGTTGCTGGAAATGACAAAATTTTATTCTTTTTTGTGGATGAATAATATTTCATTGTGTATTCATACCATATTTTCTCTATCTGTTCATCCATAGGTGGACACTTAGGTTCATACCACATCATGGCTATTGTGACTAGTTCTACAATAAACATGAGAGTGCTGATATCTTTTTGATTTGCTACTTTTTGTCTTTTTGATAATAGCCATTTTAACTAGGGTAGAATTATATCTCATTGTGGTTTTGATTTGCATTTCTCTGATGATTAGTGATATTGAGCATTTTTTCATATCTGTTGATCATTTGTATGTCTTCTTTTGTGAAATGTCTATTCAGATAATTTGCCCACTTTTTAAAACAGATTTTTTTTCCTGTTGAGTTGTTTAAATTGCTTGTATAGTCCGATTATTAATTCCTTGTCAGATGTATAGTTTGCAGTTATTTTCTCCTATTCTATAGGTTGTCTCTCTACTCTTTTGATTGTTTCTTTTGCTGTGGAGAAGCTTTTGAGCTTGATGTATTCCTATTTGTCTATTTTTGTTTTGGTCACCTGTGCTTTTGAGGTCTTACCCAAAAAATCTTTGCCAATGCAAGGGATTTCCTAATGGTAGGCATAATAATGATAGCCAGTAGGTACACTTAAGTGTGTCGGGTACTGTTTTATTTTTTCTTGACAGTATGAATTCGGTACTATGATTATCTGTTTTTCAGAGAAAGAAGTACAGTATGCAGGTTCAGAGAAGTTAAACAACTTTCTCAAGGTCACACAGCTAGTAAACCAAGAGCTTGAATCCAGCTCAAGCTGTGTTAAATCCAAGGAATATGTGCTTAACCATCAAGAAATCCATTCTCCCAGTGACTCGTGGCATCTAGTAGGCATGAGGAGATAAATGTGGACATAAGAGGTAGGGGAATGAGTAAGTCCTATAACTGGAAGAAGAGTTGCCTGGGCACGTACACAGAGAATACAAAAATGGGGAGCTAGTGTGGAGGAAAGATAGCATGTCTAAAGGTGAATGTCAGTAATAAATGGGAAATAGGAATAAATGATTATTCACCCATGATTAGAGAGAGAGGGAAGACATGCACATTTGGAAAGCCTAAACTGATCTTGTATAGGTCAAGGTGTAAAAATTCAGGCCTTAATATCTTGTTTCTCTTGATGGGAACTGTGTAGCAGCAATGTAGCTTCCAAGTTGTCTGTCTATAGGAAGTGATTTCTGCCTCTTCAGAATTGTTCGTGTATGTCTTGACCGGCTGTGACACAGTAACATGCCATGTTTTGTTTCTCAAGATTACAACACATTGTAAATTCACATTTAATGGAAGAGGATTCATCTCTAGCACAAAGACTAGTAATTCTGTTGAGGAAGGGTTTTGTTCAATAAACCTTAAAGTCAACACACCCTCTGGGTAGCCCTGGGGAATAAAATAAATTAAATCCTCAGACACAATCAGGTTGAATGTTCTAATTGTCTGTGGCTAATCTTTAAAATCTTTTCCAAAATGTGTATTGTGCAGTCAACCATTAGTTAACATTAGTCAACCATGTATTGCTTACAAAAATACTTTTTACTGTAACTGAATTATCAGTGATAAATTTTGTATTCCATTCCTTACTGATAAACAGATTAAGAGAGACTATGTTGGTGACTATCTGACCATCTGTTCGCTTTGAATTCTACTTTGTAGCCCACTGGGAAGCCTTTTAAACTCAGCACTTAATTACTTCCTCCAATCCAGACCAAGATTAAACAAAAACACATTTAGAGAGTAGGGGCAGCTCATTTATGACGACTGTTTTTATTAAAATGAGAGACAAAGCTGACTTTTACACTTGGCCAGCAAAAAATAATTTTAAGCAAGGGGATTATTTTCTACTCCAGGCCTCACATTTCAGCTTTATTAGTTTGTTTGAAATGTTGCAGATTGCCAGAACATCAGGCAAAATTCAAGTATAAGTATAAAAACATCATGACAAATTCAAAGACTGTGTATTTAAAGTATTCGGTGCTGTTAGATTTTTTGGTTGCACTAGTGGCTCATTAGCATGAATAATCAAGATTTGACTCTAGTAATAGTAAAGGCATACACTTCTTTATGCATTATATATGTCGGGTACTGTGCCCAGTACTTTACATACATTATCTAATTTAATTTATCCTTATAATAACGTTATGAAGTAAGTTCTACTATTAGATCTATTTTATGTAATTGGAGG